ACTTCATTGATATTTGTAATTTTTCATTCAGAACTGAAGGTCAGATAAAGAGCTTCACAGATAAGGAAAAGCTAAAGGAGTTCATCACCACCAAACCAGTATTATATGAAATGCTGAAAGGCATCCTTTAAGAAGAGGAAGAAGAGAAAGGTAAAGATACAAATTATGAACAACAAATACACATCTATCAACAAGTGAATCTAAAAATCAAGTGGATAAATAATCGAATGAACAGAATAAACTGGTGAATATAATAGAATCAGGGGCATAAAAAAGGGAGTGGACTGAGTATTTTCAGGGGGAAAAAGGGGTGTGGGGTGTGGGAAGAGACTGAGGGGTTGGAACCGAGTGGAGGGAAGATATGGGGGGAAAAAAGAGGAACAATTGTAATAATCTGAACGATAAAGATTTAATAAAAATTTTTAAAAAGAAACAAAAAAATGTATACAAATATGAACATAAACCATTACATTTTTAAAAAGATGTATACTAAACTTAGGAATAAATTAACATCAGAAACAGTACCCAAATTCAAAACTGTGAGTTTTATGCTAGAAACCATGTATTTACAAACAAGCTAACTCAGATCATTTTTTATAGAGATAAATTATAAGAAATATTACATGAACATTTGGGCCGGACACTCCCTGAAGCCCTCCTGTGTCCCCCACTGATCCCGATCTTGCACCAGTGGGGTCTCTCAGCCTAGGTTGCATCCTCTCACAATCCAGGACCTCTCAGGGGGGCACATTGACTGTCAGGTAGTTCCAGCTATATAATAAAAGCCTAAGCAGCTGTTACAGCAGAACAACTGGAACAAGTAGTCACTGTGATGCACACTGACCACGAGGGGGCAGATGCTGAATGCAGGAGCTGCCCCATAGTGGTCAGTGCGCTCCCAACAGGGGGAGCGCTACATAGCCAGAAGCCTGGCTCATAGCTGGCGAGTGCAGCAGTGGTGGCGGGAGCCTCTTCCGCTTCTACAGCAGCACTAAGGAGCAGCAAGCTGAGCGGTAAGGAGCAACCAGGTGGGCAGTAAGGAGTGAGGAGTCCCAGACTGCGAGAGGGATGTTTGACTGCCAGCTTGTTTTAAGCCGGCAGAAAAACATTCCCCCAACTGAGAGAGGGCGCAGGCCGGGCTGAGGGACACCCCCAGTGCACGAATTTCATGCACCAGGCCTCTAGTCTATATATATAAAAGCCTAATGTGCTAAGTGTCTGACGGTTTGACCATTCAACCATTCGCTATGATGTGCACTGACCACCAGGGGGCAGATGTTCTGACCAGTAGGTTAGCTTGCTGCTGGGGTCTGGCTGATCGGGACTGGGCAAGACGGGCCAGACACACCCTGGAGCCCTACTGTGGTCCCTCCCTGGCCAGGCTGAGGGAACCCACTGGTGCACAAATCTGCGCACTGGGCCTCTAGTAGGTTTAATAAAGAGCACAGAGTATGAGAAGGGCAGTTCCTTATATATTTTTAGAAGTTGAAATATAAACTAATTTCTGAAAATAGATCTGTAATACGGTATTAAAACAAAATAAACTGTTTAATACTATTGACCAATCATTTTTTTAAACATTCATTGTAGTTTCATTCTAAAAAGAGATGACTCTCAAAACGGAAGACTTATAAAGTTCTGCAAGGATCTCCACAAATTAGATTATGTAGCTGTAGCCCTTGGGAATCACTATGTCAAATTCTAATGGTAGAAAAAAAGTCAAACTACTATTTGTCAAAAAACATACTGTATAGAAAAGTATAATGGAATTACAACAAAGAATTGAAATGATTCATTATACTTAAGGGAGATTTATATCTGCTTCAAGTTTTAAAGAGTTTCCTAGGTCTCCTAAAGCTCCCCAAAATGTTCCATAAAAAACTGCCAATTTATTGCAATTAAATGCAATACATTAAGTGGTTTCTACATGAGATAAAAAATTGAGAGGTAGCACAGGAGAATGAAAAGAACACAAATCTGACCCGGCTAGTGTGGCTCCGCAATTGAGCATCAACCCAGGAACCAAAAGGTCACTGGTTCAATTCCTGGTCAGGGCACATGCCCAGGTTGGGGGCTCAATCCCCGCATGGCAGCCAATCAATGATGTTCCTCTCTCATGGATGTTTCTATCTCTCTATCCCGTCTCTCCCACTTCCTCTCTCTCAATAAAAATATATTTTTTAAAAAAATAAAGAATACAGATCTGGAATCAGAATACCTAGATTTACAACCCAGGCAGGTCTATATTGTACCAGTTACATGCTGGCTGAGTTTAGGCTTCTTCTATACCACTACCGACTTCTCAGGCTTGCTGACTTTTAACTATGTAATAACTAAATAGTCTCATTGTTAATCCTTAAACAAAAGAAAGGACATTGATGATACCTTACCGTTAGAGATAATTGTATACATAAATTAAAAACTGCAAGTTCTATGCTAAACTGTTGGGGTACAGCCCCAGCAGGTCCAGGGGTTCCCAAAGGTGTGGACGGAGTCGGCGAAGAATGAAGGAAACAGAGACAGCGTTCAGTTGATCAGCATAGCGAGGTTCTCTAGCCAGGTTCTGTTTTTATTCTCTTCTTACATCTGTATTTATACCAGTTGATTTTAATCCTATCCATTCTATTCCAAAGGTTAGGGCATTTGTTAATCTAGTTCTGTTGAGTTTAATCCTGTCTAGGTTAATCTCTATGTTCCATTATAAGGGCTATTCCAAGGTCACTGCTCTACTGATAAGCTACAAGGAAGTGACTAAAGGAGATTATCCTACCCAGTAAAGGTTATGTCCTCCTAGCCTCGCTGCTTGCCTTCCCTGGGACTGCCCTATGTCGGTGAGTCTCCAGGGGTATAGGTTTTGGTGCTTTCCCTGGTGGGCAGACCCCTGGGGATGTGGGCCCAACAAGTCCCAAATTTAGCCAACAGTCTTAGTCCAAGTTCTTCATAAGTAGTACATGGTATTTCTGTAACACTAGGGGGTTTCACTGATTTATTCTCTTCCTTAGTCCTGTTAATCCCTAACCTGGGGAAACAACCTTTCTCGGGGAGATGGTCCTGTTTAAAACACATAGCGCTAAGAAGGGGAACAAACATATGCCATACACACCAGGTCCCTTGAAACATAAGCTGTGCAGATGTTTCTTCCTTGCAGCAACTGTGTCAAGCAGCAAGGGTGGATGGGCTTCCGGCACTAAACTTTGCTGTGAAACACTGAGTTTTAATATCCAAGGAGGCATACACAAATAACAAATTTCTCAAGATTAAAAGAGCTGACTGATTTTGTCTTCTCTAGCAATTGAGAAACTACTGAATAAGGATAATTATATAATGACTAGAGGCCCTGTGCACAAAAATTTGTGCACTCAGGGGGGTCCCTCGGCCCAGCCTGATCCCTGGAGAATCAGGCCTAAGCTGGCAGTCAGACATCCCTCTGGCAGCCCAGGAGCATTCGGGGGATGTCCACTTCCAGCGGGGAGCAGGCCTAAGCTGCAGTCGGACATCCTTAGCGCTGCTGAGGAGGTGGGAGGCTCCCGCCACCACTGCTGTGTTGGCAGCCATCAACCTGGCTTGTGGCTGAGCAGAGCTCCCCCTGTGGGAGCGCACTGACCACCATGGGGCAGCTCCTGCATTGAGCATCTGCCTCCTGGTGGTCAGTGTGTGTCCTAGTGACCAGTCATTCCCAGTCGTTCTGCTGTTAAGGTCAATTTGCATATTACCCTTTAATTAAATAGGATGAGCAATAGAGATTAAGAAAATGACATCAGTATTATGTTTTAATTTGGTCAAGAATATAGGCTTCGAGGTTTTTTCTTTTAATATTGCTCTAGAAGAATAAGAAATCACACCCCTTTACCATGAATCAAGAGTTCAGAATCCTTGTTTAGCTCATAAAGCCTAAAGGCTTCTTCCAACTCCAACTGAGATGATACTGTACACGGGTCTCCTGCAAAATATAAAAAGTAAAGGTAAGCTCACTTTTTGAATTCTCTAATGTGATGACTAGTAAACAGTTTCTGTTACATAAAGTCTTGAGGGAAAAAATGACATACATACAGAGCGAAATATTTGACAAGGACAAATCTTTACATATTTAGATAATTCTGCTCTCTGAAGTAGGTAATATATTTCTATTTCTACAACATACTCGAGGTTCATAGACACCAAATTTTATACTGATAAAACCATTTAATTCTCAATAATGTACATATTCAAAATGTAGAAACAGAATCTACCACTGATCACATTTTAGACTGTCACTACCATATGACTAATAGCCAGGGACAAACTTTCTGTCACCTGTTTCTTTAAAAGAGGAAGTGAGAAAAAACAAGATGGTGGCATAGGTAAACACTGGAAATTTCTGCCTCGCACAATCACTTCAAAAATACAACTAAAAGACAAAACGGACATCACCCAGAACCACAGGAAGGCTGGCTGAGTGGAAATTCTACAACTAGAAGGAAAGAGAAAAGCACACTGAGACTCAGAGGAGGTGCGGAAGTAAAGTGCAGAGGTACAGAGGCGCATGCCGAAAGGGCTGGCAGCTGAGGACGCGGGTGTCTTTTTCAATCCGGAGGGAGACACAAGCTCCCGACTGCTCTGTATGCTAGTTCCGGGCGAGCCTCTGGGGACCCAGACTCATATGAGGAGAAACTGGATTGTCTGGCACTGGGCC